ATAGTCTGCGTAGACCTGCATCGGATACACTGGTTATGGTAAGCATTTTCCACAGAAGCGGGTAGAAATACCTTTTCCCAAGCAGGTGAAGAAAAAGATGAAAAAATTAAATAAAAAGCTAAGGAAAGAAGTGAGGGACATTTGGGGTAAAATCCCATCTTTTACTCCACGTGTCCTCCCTGCATTATCCCGGTTCCTCATAGAGACACTACAGGCAGTTTAAACTCAATTGGCGGTTTTTGGTTCAGAAAAGTATACCGTATTAAATACAAGAATGCAGTGTCTTACTCAAGCCAGTAGGAGGCAACGACAGGCATGAGGACAGTCCATTCAGAAATGAACCAGCACCGTATTTTACTGAAACCTTTGTGAATAAGAGGGCGGGTGGCAACACACAGGAAAGAGCTGGGAGGATATGCGAAATAAAGTCAGCAGTTTGTGATGCAAAGGTTTTCTCTGTACAGCTGTGATATTGGGGCCTAAGGAGGTGAAGGTGTTCTCCAGGATCACCGTCTGAAGTAGTGAGTTGTGAGGCTGGAGTGGGGCGTGAGCAGGAGCCACAGGGGTCCTGGCAAAAGTCTTACAAAATCAAGGCTCTTCTGGGCTGTAGGGAGGGCCCCACTAAATGTTTTTCAAGCAGAACACTAAACTACTAAGAGTGACTGAGGAAGAATCTGGTGGGGGTAGTGCTCCCATCTAGGACTAGCAGGGCTCAAGGGAGGGCACATGAAACATGGGATTGACCTTACAGCAGACTAAACTCCCACAATAGAAGCTCTTCTTTTCAACCCAAACATGCCTCCAATAATGCCTAAATATGCATGGTGTTCCCCAATTATCCCACTTGCCAAATACGTCATACCTTACATAAGCCAATACTAATAGGCAGTGAAGAAGAGACGAAAGATAAGACACAGTCCCCACTTTTAAAAAAATGTTTTTTCTAGTTAGACGAAATTTAGGGATAACTAAATTTGAATGTTTTCTCAGATGCCTTTCATATAAGCAGAAATCACTACTCTAAATGGAAGAGAAGTTCCAAGAACCAAGAGATTAGGGAAGAAAAGAAACTCATGCAGACGAAGGGGAACGTAACCCATTTGGGCTGGAATAGATCAGAACACAGAGGAAAGGCCATTCAGCCTGGCAAAGACAGAGATGTACCAATGCTCATAAGCTGGAGTGAACGAGGAGACTGGTTTGGCCGCCACTGATGTTTCCTTAAAAGAAGCAGTGATAAATAAGTTGGCAAGGAAAGGGGTTTGTGGCAGACAAAATAACAGTTCCTCCACCGAGGTCCATGTTGTAATCCTCGGACCCTGAGAACAGAAGGGAATCTTACGTGGCAAGGGTGCTTTGCTGGTGTGACTAAATCGAGCATCTGGAGATGGAGAGATGAACTTGCATTATCGAGGATCTCAATGCAATCCAGCCTCAGGATGCTGGACAAGACAAGGGAACTGATTCTCAACTAGAGCCCCCGCAAAGGAACACAGCCCTGCAGATGGGGTAAGATAATAAGTGGGTGCTGTTTCAAGCCACTAGTTTATGGTGATTAATTATGCCAGTAATAGGAAACTAATACAGGGTTTAGGACTATTGGTTTTGAGGGATGGTGTCTGTGATATGGTGGAATGAAGATGAAAACAGTGTTTTAGGGAAAGTGGTCTGTGCAGAGAATGGATCAGAAGACATAGATTAGAAACCGTTCAAGCAACAAGACTCTGGATTTGGGGTAGGAACAGAAAATGAAAAATTAAATGGTGCATAGTATGGAAATTTGGAAGAATGAATCAACAGGACTTATTGATACTCTGAATGTGGGAAGGAGAGAAAGGCAGGAGGATCTCTGAGGTCTCACTGTAGAAGAAATGACTCTTATTGCCTAAAATCTGAAAGAGTGAAAAGTTATGTGCCAGACAATGTAAAAATGTAAAACTTTTGTAAATTAAAATAAAAGTCATAGCCAATATAAAAGGTCCTTGGTGAAAAATGCTTTCAGCAAATGACACTAACAGCTTACTAACAGGCCACATAAACTAATGGGCAAAAACAAATGAGACATCAGCAGATAGAGAATCCCAAAATAGAGGGATGCCCACTTCTAAACAAACCCAAGAAATACCAATTCGAACAACAATGAGGCAACATATATTGCTCACTAATTAAACACACATCATTTGAGGCAGTAAATCTGCAACACTGATGAGATGCTGCCATCCATTCACACTTGCTGGGTGTGTTGTAACCATTTTGGAAAGTAAATTGGCATTACATATCAGACGCTGTAGAAATGTCCCTACCCTTTGACAGAGAATGCTTCCTTTTGTAATCTAGCTTAAGGAAACTGTCTTGAACATAGGGGAAAAATTAATTATAGGTAATGAAGGCTGGCAATTACTGAAGTTGACTGACCCTGTGCTGCATACGATCTCATTAGTTCATAAAACCATCCTATGACGTTAGTACTCTAACTATTCTCACACTACAGATGGAAAGCCTGGTACAGAGAGATCATGTAACATGCTCCAAGGATTTCAGCTAGGAAGAGGGAGAGAACATTCTGCTTCCAAAGCCGGCATACTTAAATTCCACACCTTAGTTTCCACCAGTGGGGAACACAGTGGGCACGGCAGTGTTTGTCTCATTAAAAAAAACGCAGGAAAACAGGAATTGTAAGAGGGGCACAGAAATATGGGTGGGTAACAGTGGATTATTTCCCCTGCCCCCCAACTTGCTGCAATATTTAGCTTTATAATCTAAAAGTTACTTGCAAGGAGGAAAATAATGCACATACAAATAAAGCTCTTGAATATTTCTAAAAATTAGGCAGAAATCCTAAGAAAGGGTAAACCATCAGGGTAACTGTTTTCATATTTTAATATTAACAATTATAAAAGTTTGGGAGAAGTAATATTAAGAACTTTCTTCAGCCAACCAGAAAGGAATGGAAACAGGGGCCCCAAAATTATAACAAAAGGGTAGCGTTGCACAACACAGCAGCATTAGTCAATAAAAAGCTTGTGCATCCTGACTACATTTTTTACTTCAATCCTTAACACATTTTTACAGTCAAGATTACAGATGTGCCTTTATTTTTGCACCCCTACCCCATCATTGTTTGTATTTGACTGTTACCTTTAGGCCAAGTCACACGGTCACAATGGGGCAAGTAAAGGAGACTGCTAGCCCTGCCTTCTGCTCCACAATACAGTGAATACATACCTAGACCCTGGACTCACAAAGCTGTTTGTGTCCCTGCGAGGATGTTTTAACAAGGCTGCTCAAAACGTGCAAGACTGAGAGATTTGAGAATTGCTACTCTGCGAATTCTGACAGCTTGATGATGTTAAGAATAACTAAAATTATAGACAGAACCAGGGAAACGGAGGGAAAAGAAAGGTCCCAGAAATTGTAAGACTCGCTCTGTGAGGATCTACGAACCGCCTATACTCCCTAGGGAGAGGGTTCTCTCCTGTAGAAGCAAACAAATCCTATTAGAGGAAAGAGCAGGGGGTGGACCTTCACTCTAAGAAGCATGGGCAGTGACCTGCACAGGGTGGGCCTAATTGGCTGTCCCCCAGCTGTGCCTTGAGTGGAGCTGGTCCTGAGTATCTGGTGGGGCAGCTGGGCTGTGTCGGGGTCATGGAGAGCAGGGCACTCACCTGGGAGGGTAGGAAGGGGGCTTGTGTGTGACAGGCTGCCTCCTCCCGACTGGCCCTCAGAGGCTGGGCAGTGGGTGGAGCTCTGGGTTTAGTGTCACGGTAAGGAGTGATTTCATGAGAAAGCTCATTTCAGCAGAAATTGCTCTAGAGCCTGTTTCCTCGCAAACAAGCAAACAAAAGCAGAGCCCCTTGAGAAGGATGGGAGACTCCAGGTTTGCTCTTGTACTGAGAACCTCCAGCCTACATCTGCACCCACCTGCCTTGGTGCTTCTGGAAGCAAATCTGGATTTAACAAAACTTTAATTGGAGAACTGCAGGTCGACCTAACACAAACATGTACAGAGAGAAACAGTCTCAGTAACTTCTCAATAAGATCCTGTTAAAGTGTTAAGCCCTCCAACACTCTAATTTCTTGGCTAAAAACAAACAAAAAAACCCAGTGAGAAAATTCATTTAAGAAAAATGCTAAAGAACTTTTAATACAGAGTAAGCACACTCTGTTACGCACTGACATTTCTCAGAAAATTAAGAAATGAAATTAAAAGAATTGACTATCTTTCTGAGTTCATATATATGAATTCTCTATATACAGGAAGGAAAAAAATGGTAAAATTGTACTAACTCATATATCGTGATTTTCTGGGCAATTTCATGAGGTATTTCTAGTTATTAAAGAAATTTCAACACCTCAGTAATGTACAACCTGCAAAACATCAAATTTGGGTAGAAAATTAAAAAGCATTCACTCTTCTATTATTTACTGACCATTTCTTCCACAACTATCAGCTATCCTTTCTGCATTCTCATTTCTTTTATCTAAGACTTTAAGTGAAATGGATCTGAGAACTAAAACACCAGGCTTGCAAAGTGGCCTTTACGATTCAAAGGAAGAGTTACACGTGTTCTCCGTTTACATGTCCCCCAAACTGTCCTCAAATACCTGTGACGTGTATATTGTTTTTTCCAGCTAAATTTAAGTTGATTTTAATAACTTTCTTCCTGTAAAATAATCATTTGCTTATTTTTCTCCTATTTGTAAAACACTGAAGTACATTTCTTGGATGAAATAAGATCTGTCTTCTTTCTAAACCCACACACCCAGTTCAGTGCATTGCAAGCAGCCTCCCATCTATGTATGTAAAAGATCCTAACAGAAAACCCACCTACTGGGAAAGCATACCTCTAAGGGACAGAATAATTTATTTTAAAAGGAACTTGGCATCATGATAAAAGAAATTGTAAGGTTCTGTGAACTATTAATGTTCTTAGGAACCACAGAAAACAGTCTTAACATTTTGCCACATGCTGTATAGAGAAAAGAAGAAAAGAAGTTACCTTTTTGTGTAAGGCATGAAATTCGCTGTACCTTTTTTCAACAAAATGTTTTCTTCCATTCATTAGCACTTCTATCTTAAACACCTAAAGAAAAAATTTTAAAGATTAATTCCACCAGTTCAAAACCCTCAAGTGTCTGATGTGGTAAGTTTGTGACCATGATATATTTCATCCCTTTAATTACAGTAGCTGATCCCCCAAAACCCAAAAGGCTCAGGAGACTCACCCAACAGCACTGATTAATGAGCACTCTAGCCAAACGCCCACTAGCCAACTGCAGGATCCCTGCAAATGTGTCTCAACACAGAAACTTAAATGTATTAAAATGCTCCTTAACGTCTTAATCACAGAATACTTCCCCTGCAAAAATTATTTCACCAAATGGTGATGGAACTGAAGTAAAAGTGTGACACGATCAATGGTGACCGACTGGTAAAAATCCAGGCCTGCCACCTTCCATGATGGGCACTGTGATGAAGGCCACACTGTGTCACCTAGAAGAAGATCATGCAAACAGGAGTGCGTTTTGGGTTAATTTCTCCCTGACCTGCATATTCATCTCTAGCCTCAGCTGGGCTTATTCTGCTGTTTGCAAAAGAGGGAAAATGTAGGAAAGGTTCATTTTCCCCTGCGTGATACTAGTGACAGCTTGTGCTCCCAACTCCAGGTTGAAAGGCCAGATGAAAAGGCTCTCTGGGTACACTAATTAGTAGGCATGAACATGACATGTTTTTGATTCTTAGGTCACTGGGTCAAGACTGGGAACAAGGGTTGAGAGACTGTGGAACGTTCATGAAGACACGACATTCAGGTGGGCGAGGCAAGCAACTGAAGAGAAGGTGCTCTTTTATTTTCAAGAGTTCGTCTATGATTCCTGCTTTACTGAGCAAGAGTTTGTCAAAACCAAGATGAAAGAAAAGTGTTCAGTCACTGAGTAAGCCTCATTTCCTGTTTCAATTTTGCTCTTCTGGGAAAAAAAACAAAACAAAACCTAAAGTGGAGATCCCATGACACTAAGGAGTATTAAATGCATGCTTACTTTAATCCTAAAAGAACTATTTTTACAAGGTCACACCGTCATTATGCCAATAGATCCCTATGCCTCCGTATTTCTGCCTTACAAGTAAATATGACACTTCTAGAAAGTCAAAAATTATGTCATCAAACATAAAATGTGTCTGCATTTTGGTGTTTTTTTTATTTACAAACAAAATCTTCTGTTGCATGACTTAGTTTAGGCAGCCTGCTTTTATTGAATAAGTGATCAATTTTACCAATTTGATCAATTTATACCAACATATAGTTTTTCAAGAAATTCCCCTAAAAAACACACTTCCTTGGTGAATCACATTGGTTTTTGTTATAAAATAACATGTGCTTATCGAAAAGAATTTTTCAAAAAGTTCAAAGGATATAAACTGAGAAGCGTAAGCTTCTTAATTCAGAGATTTGTGTAAGTCCTTGTGAACTCAAGAAATCTCTTAAATATCCTTTCGGAAACTATCTATATAAATATAAGCTCTGTATGTACACATGCATATAGAAGTTATTTTTTTTCTTACACAACTGGAGCCATACTACATAGTTCTACTACTTTATCTCCTCTCCTATTTTTTACTTTATTTAATACATATTGAACATCTTTATTTATCAGCACATTTTGACATACTTCATTCTTCAATGGCTATGTAAATACCCTCACATATTACTGTTACCATATTTTATTTATTAGGACCCCAAGATGGATATTAAGTTATGACATTAATTTGTGCCATATATACATGTTTATATATATTTATAGTGATTTATCTATATACATAGATGCATATATCATCCTTGTTCCTGCACAGACACATACATACATACATACATAGGATAAATTACCAAAAAATCTTGCCAAACTTTCCCCCCCTAAATGTACTGTTACACCACCACTTATAGGATATGGAATGTCTGGTCCAGCCTCATTAGCAGTGGCATTGTCATTCTGGTGACAATGAGATGAGTGAAATGAGAATTAAGTGGGTATATTGAGGCCAGTGTGTACAGTGGCATAAGTGTCTGTTCCAACTAGCTCATGTAAAATCACATAGAGGCCTGACCCACCTGTCCAGCTCTCTACTCTTGGAGACATCCCTTCTAATTTACATTTGCTTTCAAAACACAAATTATATTTATGTGATTAAACTCTAGCCACAGTCCTAGAAACATTACTAAATCTTTAGAACTCAAATTGAAAAATAAATATTACTTTAAGAGGGAGATTTTATTTATTTCATAAATGTGTTTTAATTACATGTTAGTCTATTTTTTTCCTTTGTGATAACATCTCTGGAATTAAATTGGAAGCCAATGATAAAACATCTCAAAATCTGGGTTTACACCCAATCTTCCAGGAATGGATCTGAAATAAAGTAAATTCAAGCTAAAGAATCCGAATTCCAGGTTGAATGGTCCCTGTGTCCAGAAGATCATATCTTACAAAGTTATTTACTTCCAAACAAAGCAAATTAAAAAAAATAAGTTTTTCCTATAACAGGCTATCAGTATCTAATAAATAACTTAAGCACCTCCCAAATATAGAACAGGTGTCCATAAACAAATAAAACTTTTAAGTCCTGTGTTATAAATTGTTTGGGTCAGAACAGTTATACTGAGAATCTGAGACACACATGAATGACAGTGGTCAGCTTTGAATAATAGGATTTTCTTATAAATATATTTTCATACTTGTTCGATTAGAGCAAGATGCATCAAATATTAACTCGGGACTTGAAATCAATATTTTCTCCTTCTTGAGTAGAAATAAGCAAGAAAGAGAAAATAAAATGTTAAAGGTATTATTCTACTATAAAAAGTTCTATCTCTAAAAGAGCAATTTATTGCTTGCCTGTTGGGGGCTAGGCTCACAACAGGTATGAATTCCCATTATGCAGGGTTTCTTATGAGGGAAAGATGGTTAGAAAACCTTATTATAAATTATTATATTTGATGAATAAGTAAATTTACACTTCCAACACCACTATTGTAAAAATTTACTTTGTTCTTATTCTGAGCCTTTAATCATATTTCCTCTAATCAAAGAAACCACAGTGATAAAGTGAGAGAGATAATTAATGTAATTACACCATTGGTTGGGGAGAAGCTGCTAACAACTTTTCTCATATCTTTGAAAACATCTAAACTTCACAGATTTTTTGATGTTTTTCAGAAAAAGATGTTACTTCAAATAAACCACAGCTTAAGGAAAGAGAATAATTCTCTCAATAATTGCCACTATAGAATAGCTGTGTAAGAGTTGGGCATGATTGTGTGTGTGTGTGTGTGTATGTGTGTGTGTATTTTTTAATTTGCAGAGAAATTTCATACCAAAAAGGACCCCCCAAAATAAGAAAAATCTCTAAAGAATAAAAAATAAAAACAAAAACAAAATTAGAGCAAGAGTGAAAAGCAAAGACAAAAGAAATCTAAGTTTCCTAAACTGTAAAGAACAAAAGGGTTTACCATATCCCAGGGAAAAATAAGACACCTACCTAGTCTGGATTTTTATTTTTTTAATTACAATAGTGAGAAAAAGCACTGCCAATATACAGATGGAGACAAGCAAGAACAAAGATCAGGACAACTGCAAACGTTTTCTCTGCCACACTAAATGCCTCCCCCCAAAAGAGTAGAAAACTGCAGAGTTTTATGAGAGTATCATTTGTAGTCATCCAATTATTCACATGCACAGGCAAAAACAAAAAGGCAATCTCAATTGTGGGCAAACTCAGAAAATGACCCACACATTCTTTTTCAAAGATATGACTAAAAATGTTGAACAGCCAATGGAAAAATGAATCACAATTAAGAACTCAAAAATATAGTAATATAAAAGGGTAGCCATTGTTTTGTTCTCATCAAAGACTGTAATTCAGGGAAGTAGGAAGTGAATACAAACCCTGAAAATGTCATAAAATAGCTGCTATCAGAAAGGGGTAAGGAAGTCTCCAGCAGGAAGCACGCTGGTTTCATGGCCATTTGGAGACACCTTCCACACGGGCTGCTGTTGTTCCCCTCTACAAAGAAAGGGTTTCTGGTTGAAGTACTTGGTATATAAAGAAACAAACCAATCTACAGAAATCCACAGAAAACCTGGTTTGAAATTTTTGCTTCATAGGCCTTCCAAGTTTGATGGAAGTTTGAACCTAGAATTTCATATCTGGGCAAAATTTTCCACAAAGAAGGGAAAATGCTCTTTGCAGACATTTAAAAGCACCAAAATTTTCTGTATTATGTACACATTCAGGAAATTTTCTTTGACAACTCTTCTTTAAAGGAATTCAAAAAAGAACCCAAGAAACTGTAGACCTAACCTAGAAATAAAATCGGGAAAGAAAAGTCCTAAAATGGCAGCTTTTCAGCCTAAAAAAGCATTCAAATTAGAATAAGTCAGACAGCTCCAAGAATGCTTTCCAGAAGAAAATAGGTACAATTAATATGACTTATACTTAATAAGGCTTTAGTGATAGTGGTACAGCATTGACCTTCCTCAGTCAAGAAAAAAAAAGAGTCCTTAAAAATTCTAAGACAATGAACCAAACTTGTATAACATGTGAAGGTCCAAATATAAAGCAAAATAAAGGTAACATAACTCAGTACAGTTTAGAAAACAATGTCCATTTCAAAAGATTATTGAAGCATTCTCCACTGAACAGTACAGATTTGTAATTTATAAGGCTACATTCCCTCTTCTACAGCTCCAAACACTTGATTACAGTGAAAATACAGATAAATATATGTACATACACATATATAATGGTATTATTGGGAACATTAATTATTGTATGCAGTTTTCAGAATCAATCCATACAACACAGGAGAGAATTATTTTTACAGAATAAACTGTTTTTTTCATCAGTGTAAAAACTAATGGTGTAACTATGAGAAAAATGGACATGAGTGGAGAAAGAACTGGGTGAACGGAAGGGGTCCCAAGTTTTTCATCTCACATAATTGGTGTCAAAAGACACTGCTAAAAATTGGCAGATGAAGAAAGTGGTTCAAGTTGTAAAGTAACACATAAAGCTGTCATGGTAATTCCT